TCTCATACCATTAAAGTTAGCCTTCCTAACATTGTATACTTTTAATTTCGACTTTGCTCTTTGGACACTAAAATTAACCTCGAATTTAACCATTTTATGTTATTATTGTAATTATCGATATTGTTATTGTTACCAGTTTCATTGCTACAAAACGGACCATCCTTGCCTTCTGTTCAGAAATAATGACCCATGCCTGTGCCAGTATAAAGTCACCCTTATACATGCTCTTTGTGAACATTTCATTTTGCTCGGCAACATCTTTAAATCATCAGTTCAGTTTAATTCAGACTCATCCATGCATACTGGTGCAAAGTTAGATGACCTAGGTCATCTCAGACTGCAGATAGTCTGGTCCCTGCAGTTACCGCAGTCTTTGTAATCCTGTTGTCCAGTCCAGATGGGAGGCAGGACAAACACACAATTTGTATAGGAACATAGCAAGTGTGACGAGAACCTCAGCCCGTTAGCCTTGGTCACATGCCTTTGGGAATCCCTGTGCAGTTATTGATATACAGATGTAAAAAAATCATTGTTTCCTCCCTTTAAGGCTCAGCTGGACGGATTGACTGGACGTATAATTATAAACAAAACCGACGGCTTAAGGAAGGAGTTTGATCTGGATGTTATCAGTCTGAAGGAGGATGGTGTGGTAAAGGTGAGTAAAGTATAAATGAAACAGCAGTCCTTGGTTAACATTAATTTAGCAGATGCTTTCCTCAAAGTGATATTCAGTTGAGAATACAGGGTCAAACAATTACTGGAGCAAACCCTTCCTCAAGAGCCCAATGGTGAAATCACGGTGCCAGACCAGGGATTTCAACCAGTTATTTTACAAATGCAGGCATGGCATCCTGACCCACTGAGACACACACCATTCTGCCAGCAAGGCGGATTTCTCAGCATGTTTCGCACGTCCAGGGAAACGAAAAGCGTTCAAAGTGCTCTTCACCTTTAAGAAAAAGGCTCGAGTTGAAGGTCACATGCCAGCTGACCACTCATTCACATATGTTTTAATTTCCCTTGGTGTTCATGTTTTGTTTTTTTCCCCCACCAATTGGAAAAAGACGCTGTCTGATGGTACTAGACGCCCGAGCGGAGTGTGGAGAAAGGTTTGTACACAAGCTCCTGCAGCCATTGCACTGCCATCTCCTCAACAACCCCCAAAAAACCCTCTATCTCATCCCTACCCCCTCATCCTCAGGAAAAACAAATGGGACACGTGTAAGGGCTCCCCGTGTCGTTATCTCCTGCCGGCGACCCCTCTCAACCAGCCGGATTCATTTACCACCAGCGGAGACTTTAATCGTATTAAGGAAACCCCCCCCGGTCAAATAACAGACCGCCAGCGGCTTTTGAAAATCTCGGCCATGTTTATTAAACAGCACCTGCAGAATAGGGATTTATGGATTTGCACGTAAGTGATTAATTGGACGCCACGGCTGCGTCTCCTCTCGCTGCACGCTGATTACTTCTGGTTCCGCCAGATACAGCCAAACGGAGGCAGGCTGACGAACGACGGGTCTCCTTCTCTGCGCTCTGCCACAGCGGCACGATGCACATGATGTCCTCCCTCTTTCTCTCGACGGGTAATTAATGGAACCTACCTGTAGTCGTTTCTCTGTGCCCTATTATGGTCTCAGCTGGCTGGCCGCTTTCACATGGTAACTTAACCGTAACAGCTGAAAGGTGGGAGAAATGGCCTGGGGAGCTGGGGGGGCTTGGGGGGCTTGGGGGGTGGAGGTGCCTCCATTTAATTCTGCTTCCTTCCTCTGACCGTTCAATGCGTCATGCTGGTAATTCTTTTCTAGTGTTACTCCTAGACCCAAACTATTCTGGGCATTAACTATCTGGAATTAGACACTCCTTGGCTTGAACTAGAAGCTGCCCAGTAAAGATAATTTGCAATAGTTTACATGTTGCAGGTACCCCCCCCCCCACACACACACACACTCATGTCCCTTATCAGGCTAACTACTTGGGATGGATGGATGGATGGATGGATGGATGGACTCCATGACGAGAGCATAGTCCGTGATGGATGGATAATCTACAATCCATAATAAAATTTTTATCTCCAAATACCACTGGACTGTATACTGTACTAGTTAGAACTTGAACTTCATGTAGTATGATTTAATAATGGTTCTCATAGCTGTAAATAATTTTACTCCACATTTTTCATTTTTAATGCCTTTTGTCCAGTTCCTACAGTAAATTGATTGTTTTTTAAAGGGTTTGTTCATCTCTGTCAGACATGAATCATAAACCTTCATGCATATGTATGAACATCCTGAATATTTAATATGTAATGGGTGACTGAATCGAAAAAGTGTTTTTCTTTAGACACGGTAAATACCACAAACCCCACAAAAAGTTACTTTGAAATAAGTCAGCTGTATAGCACTCCAAGGGGACCTGTTTTTATTTCGCATTTTATTTAGCCTTGTTAACTTTAAGATATTTCAGGGGGTGTGGAATGCTGCGTAGAACAGAGGTACTGGACAATAATGAAATTAATTTACCATGGAAATAAACGACGCATTAAAAATAAGAACAGGACTTCTTTAAGAAAACAGTAAAAACAAACCTTCCCCTACAACACAGGAATACAGAAGATCAGACCACCCCGCCTGCCCCCCATACCTCCCCCAGGTCTCCTCCAGTCTCCTAAATCAAACTAGCTGACCCCAGACTGCCTAACCCAACCGGAGTCAGCTGAATTTCTGTAGCTGGGTAACCTGTAGGTACAAGCCTGGCGTGCTGCCTCCTGCTGGTAAACAGTACAAAGTCGCCAAAATGACAATCTGCAATGGAGACATTTATATCGAGCTAGGCGATCACCGCACACCAGGTCAGAAGTGGAACATCTAGTTAGTCAGATACCTGTTTCAGTCCAAATGGCTTGACCTCTGTTCAGCTGATATAGCAGCTGTGTTTGCTGGGCAGCCCATTTTGGCTTCAGCTGTGCCTGAACACCTTGCAAAAGGGCAGCGTTGGCATCTTAAAAGCAAACAGCCAATAACTGACAGTCACAGTTTTATACCAGGAAATTTGCCTAAGCCTTGTTTCCTCTGTAACTGGCCATTCAGTCCCTGTTATTCCTTCTGTGATGTGCCTCTCCGAAATACCCTGCTCCCCATGGATTTCCAATGTCTGAATGGGGAATTACTAATTCTTCCACAGAATTATGGGTATATCATAAGTAAATATTATAAAATCTCCTCATACTATATTTACTGCTTCTATGTATTTTATTAAACCCTTAATAATACTCTGTGTTTTCCATTTGATGTTGATGTCTTTCAGAAGTTTAATCTAGATTTTTCCTTCCTCGATGTTAAAAGAACCGAAATTAGGATCAGAATTTTATAAAGGTGAATTTCGGATTTACATTCCAGATTGGAGTATGGAATTCCGTCAGCGGCCTTAACTTAACGGACAGTGACAAAGACAAACCTACAAACGTCACAGATTCGATGGCAAACAGGACCCTGGTTGTCACTACTATTCTGGTAATATTTTTATTATCTCTGCAACCTCAGTATTTATGACCAGATTGATCATTGCAAGAAATATATTCAAGAAACAGCTTTACAGTTCACGGGTAGGCTGTGTGTTCTGAGACATTTGTAATGATCTACAGGAAAATCCATACGTCATGTACAAAAAGTCGGACAAGCCTCTGTATGGCAATGACCGCTTTGAGGGCTACTGTCTGGACCTACTGAAGGAGCTCTCCAACATCCTTGGCTTCTCCTACGAGGTGAAGCTGGTTTCAGACGGGAAGTACGGAGCCCAGAATGACAAGGGGGAATGGAACGGCATGGTCAGGGAACTTATAGACCACGTGAGTCACATGACTGGGAAGCCTAAATGGCACATTCCGTGTGTGAGTCATTGGCACATTCCTATCGAGTCATTCGAACCTCGTGCTAAAATTATAAAATGGTTTCTTTGACCTCTATCAATACTAAAGTTACCCTACTTAGATGCACGTGTATAATCAATTCCTCTAAGAAAAATTAATAGTAAATAAAATAAAAGCATAAGCCATGATTTTGCGATTTTATAATTATAATATGCTATATTATAAGGAGGTTTGTCCTTTCCATGTCTACCTGGACCCCCCAACCCTGGGGGTAGGTGGCTGACCTGGCAGTGGCCCCCCTGACCATCACCTACGTGAGGGAGAAAGTCATCGACTTTTCTAAACCCTTCATGACTCTTGGCATCAGCATCCTGTACCACAAGCCCAACGGCACAAACCCGGGGGTCTTCTCATTCTTGAATCCCCTGTCGCCTGACATTTGGATGTACGTCTTATTGGCCTGCCTGGGCGTCAGCTGCGTTCTGTTCGTCATCGCCAGGTATGGCGCTCCTGACTGAGGTCCCCTCCATTCACATTGTGCCTCTGATCCAGGTTTTAGGTGCAACTGCCAAACTAACAACTCATAATTTGCTAAACTAGGAAGCGGAAATTGTAGCTAAACCCCTGGTGGCTAGTAAATAGTTACAGACCTTTACTGACTTAACATTTTAGTGTTGAAAGAAAAATTAATCTTCTGAAGGAAACTGCAGAGTGGTGGCACAGTATAATTTAGGAATCAATGTTCAAATTGACAATGCATGGATGCATACTTAGCAGATGTATGAATAAAGTTGTTTGCCTCTCTGTTAGGTCTGAGCCAGTTTTTTCATTGTCCTTCTGTTGCGCGCGGGGAGCATGGAAAGCTCAATGTGAATGGTTGCTTTGTTGGTGTCCCCGCATTGAAATACAGAGTTTAAAAACTGGAAACATCTCAAACATCTGCTGGTATCTGGCATGTCTAGCTTTCTCCTCCAGGGGAGACAGAACAGCACAGGGGGGATAAGAGTTCATTGCTGAGACTAATATGCAAATTCCGTCCAATCAGATTCCTAAAACTGATTTGGGTGATTGTTATGGATTGCATGTTGCAACATATTAAATTTACTGCCTGGAGTGTATCAAAAGTGTTATAAAAAACAGATGCTGTCCTCGGGCTACTAATATTTTTTCTCTGAACAAAACATGTGTCACCAGATACCCACAATCCTTCACTTCCATCCTCACCACGCCACCAGTAATTTCAGCAGACCAGCAGTGTTATCTACTGCAGAATTTCTAAGAAAACATCATAAGGGTTTCAAAGTCATGCAATGCACACAAAAAGCAGGTAAAATAGAATAGTTTAAATGTCAGGAATCCCATTTCCTGGAGACACTCTGTTTTTGTATATTTGGGACTTGACTTGCTAAATATTCTGGTGGGTCAGTGGACAGTTTCAAGATATAAAGGTTCAAAGTGTCTGATAAGCCACAAAAGTAAGCATGTGTATCTTTCACGAATAATATTGTTCCTGAACATATTTTTCTGAATGATGGCGCCCACGAACACACATTACACACACTGTCTAATGTCATGTTGGCAACAGAATTTTTTGATCTTTTAGAAGAAATCTATGGCAGGAAATGCTATGATGCAGGGAATGTATTCTGCATTTCGTTGACATGTTTCAACTGTAAATCCAACAAAGGAATGTTCATGTGTTTTAAGTGCTTAAGTTTAAATTTATTTATTTGTTCACCAGTTATTGTAACTCGTTAACAAGCGTTTTTAACTATCTTAGGTTTACACCTTATGAATGGTACAACCCGCACCCCTGTAATCCAGATTCGGATGTGGTGGAGAACAGCTTCACTTTATTGAACAGTTTCTGGTTTGGAATTGGAGCACTCATGCAACAAGGTAATTGGGTCATACATTCTTAACTGGGAAAATCCCATTACTTGCTGCTAACCCTTAGGGTAGGCTTACTGTGCTCTCTGAAAAAAACAGTTCAGTACTTAAGACTGAACTTTACGTTGACTGATGGATTTCCAGGAAAACCTTATGCTGGAATAATTAAACCTGAGTAATTGTTCTTTGCTTCCTATAACTGCCTATGCTGGGCCGGGTCATGATGGGTCTTGAGCTTATCCCAGTAAGCACATGATATATCCGAGATGGGTCACCAGTCCATCACAGGGTGCACACACAGTCACAGACATGACGGTTTCAACACACCAGTTCACCTAAACCACTACGCATTATGCAAGGAAAACTCAAGCCAACATGATGAAGGCATGTAAACAAACAGAGCTCCGCCCACTGAGATGTGAGATTCCAGTGCTACATAGTCTAGTCACTGAGCCACCGTAGTCCACAGATGGAAAATCATCAACAATGGTTCATAATAACAAACGCATGCACAACTTTGTGACACACACAGGCCTTCTCCCAGAGTTCAGCACACATACCTCATAGGTTGCTTTGCTAAGCACACAGCAGAAAGTCCATAGCTGCATCGTAGTTCCAACACGCACTTGGAGGCAGATTTCCCAGCGGGACGTTCTCCCTCCACGTTAAAGGACCATTTCTTGAGCAGATACAGAAACTAAGTCCGCAGCAGCATTTTATACTAACTGCATTAAATAGCTGTTCATAGACTGTTGGTGTTAACCATCTGTAGAAGAACAGATGGTTTCATTACAGTCTTGCATTTGTCCTTGTGTTGGTAGCTCTATGCTCCCTCTGTGTGTATCAGCAACAAGGAGAAGAATCCTTGAAATAAATTGCGAGAAGTTCCTTTATTTTCTGTCTCATAGCAATGCATGATTTCCTAAGCTGGCACGCTTTTGTACTGCTAGGATCTGAGGTGATGCCCAAGGCTCTGTCAACGAGAATCATCGGAGGGATCTGGTGGTTCTTCACGCTCATCATAATATCATCTTACACTGCCAACCTGGCTGCCTTCCTGACGGTCGAAAGGATGGATGCGCCCATTGACTCAGCAGACGACTTGGCAAAGCAAACAAAAATCGAGTATGGGGCAGTAAGAGATGGATCTACCATGACATTCTTTAAGGTATTGATGTCATCAGCCCCTTCAACTCTTCAGCCTCATGTAATGGGGTAGCGATGATCGTGGAATCTATCCAAGGAAGCACAGGGAATAGCAGGAGACACCCTGGGCAGGATGCCAGCCCATCAGAGGACACACAATCACATACTATGGGCAATTTACAGACACCAAGTAATTATATAACATCAACTAACTATTTTCTCTATAAAGACGTGAAAAGTAAAAAATACATGAAGTACAGTGCATGATAGTATATCTTACAATCTATAACCACAAGGCCTTCACCATGTCTAGGTTCAGTCTCTCCTTCTTTCAAAAGTGTGAAGGAGCCACTCATCCAATGTCACAAACCAGTCCCCATATATTTTCCAGCATAGCAGCGATACAACGGCATCAACTTTACACACCTCTTGAGTTGTTTCAACGGAAGCCAAAAGAAAGATGGTTTTATGCAGTGAGTGAAAATCACAGAGGTCCGCTCTATAAATATTGTGAATTGCCTAAGAGTCGCAACACCTGGATGTTGTGGAACAAATCAAATTAGCGGAGGAAGATCAGCACCAATCCGTCACTTTGCTGTCAATGGCAAATGGCGAAAAGCAGACAAGTGTAGGTTTTCATTGAACTTCAGGTGAATATAGGAGACAGGGGAAAGTGACAGGTTCAAAATTGAAAATGAATTCTGCCCAATAAGCATCAAGAACGTAATTCTAAAAGATCTTTTAAAAGATTGACATCTGACTTGTGTGTTTTTGAAACAGAAATCCAAAATATCCACATATGAGAAGATGTGGGCGTTCATGAGTAGCAGGAAGAACACCGCATTGGTCAAAAACAATGGCGAGGGGATACAGAGAGTCCTCACTACAGACTACGCTCTCCTCATGGAGTCCACCAGCATTGAGTACATTAGTCAGAGGAACTGCAACCTCACCCAGATCGGGGGCCTGATTGACTCGAAAGGCTATGGAGTGGGCACTCCCATTGGTAAGCATCGAGGGCAGTGTGGTGCCACACGGCACCAAGGGACCAGGCCGTGGGGATCCAAAGCACATGGTTCCCTAAATATCCCGTTATTATAAAAAAAAATAATAAAAAAATTTGAAAAGAACATTTATTTCCTGAAACTGAATTTTTGCAGGTTCCCCCTACAGAGACAAGGTGACCATCGCCATCCTCCAGCTCCAGGAAGAAGGAAAGCTGCACATGATGAAGGAAAAGTGGTGGAGGGGCAACGGCTGCCCGGAGGAAGACAGCAAGGAGGCCAGCGCTCTGGGCGTGCAGAACATCGGGGGCATCTTCATCGTGCTGGCCGCCGGCCTGCTGCTCTCTGTGTTTGTGGCAATCGGGGAGTTTATCTATAAATCGAGAAAACACTCACGCATGAGCCAGGTGAGTGAGGGCAACTGCGAGTGGCGCAACAGGGTGTGATGGCCAGCAGCGTTAGTGCCAGGTCTCAGAGACGTCTCAGCAAGGCCTGATTTTCTGTGCGAGGCGTGAAGAGGCTTCGGAGCAGCAGGACTTAAGACCAAAAGAAAAAACCACAAGCTTTTCTTTTGTTTTCAGCTATGTTAGGTCCTCAAATCCGCCTTAAAACTGGAACATTTGGATGATTTGACATGTTGATCCCCATTGTATGTGATTACCCAGCACCCCTTGCTTTTGGTCAGTTCCCTGCATCCATTTTGTTTTAAATGCAGAAATGTTCTTTATGATTAAATATGTGGCTGGTTGTAGCACTTCATACGGCAGAGACGATGGGAAACATGGGGAGCCTTAAAATGCGATTCTTGGTGAATCTTTGGGATTTCTCGATGGAAGGACAGTGTTTGAGAGACAGCACAGGTTATAGCTCAAATCTCAGGTCTTCTGGGGAATACCATAGTCTTGCTTTGTTAAAATGCAGAAAATTTGCTGATAATTTTGAGATACTCAATGTAAGTGAAGAATTGCACTGCTAGCATCTGAAATGTAGCTGTAAAATAGAGGCACCATAACTAATTATCTATCCATCCATCCATCCATCCATCCATCCATCCATCCATCCACCCATCCATCCATCCATCCATCCATCCACCCATCCATCCACCCATCTTCCAATTGCTTATTGAGAACTGTTCTCAAAGGGCAAACACTGCTACATGTTTATATAACAAACTTAAGACTGAGATGGAAAGCAGAGGTATCTGAATTAGGGGAATCAGACACATAAAATGGAAACTGCTCTGCCAGGATCACAGCTGTTTCTGTTCAGTATGGGAGTGACTTTCTTATGATTATTGTAAAATAGTTCCTTAATATTTTGCTTTGGAGTTTATCACTATTTGCATCATCATCATCATCATCATCATCATCATCATCATCATCATCACTATCATCATCATCATCATGACTGAGAAACAGAGGACTGGGATGCTAAAACGTAGCATAAAATTAGCTAATTTTGATTCCAGTACATTCAGTTATTTTTCCCCAGTTACTCCCTACATGAAACTCATTTTGTGAGATTCCCTGGATTGGATTCATATATGCAGATTGGGTTCATTTTTATAATCAACTTTTTTGTGGTTGTTATATATTTCATTACATTCCAACTGCATTATTTATGTTTAATTAAAATGTTCTGATTATTTTCATTGACAGACAAAAAATGCAGGAATTACTGCTCCTTTGGAAACAAGTGACAAAATACATAATAATATGACTATTTACAATCATGTTTGCTTTTTTGGTCACACTTTGAGGGGACATGAATAATGTAGTAGTACATGTTTACTTAATGCATTAATTGACCAGTAACTAAGTGTTAATTATGTACTGATTACCCTGCTTGTCCATCATTAATCAATCATGACAGTACATGTATTCCATTCAGGCAATATTAGTTAACAGTTAACTAATTAGTTAATAATGGTAAGACTTCACTCGGGGCAAAAATTTCTTAACTCATTTACTACTCAAGAACAAATCATGAACTAATATAGGCTTCCCTATGAAATACATGAACTGTCATGATTGATTAATGCTGAATGAACATGGGATCAGTACTTACCAACCAATTACTATTGTTAAAACTAAGCCATGCTGTAGATTCAAAACACTTGAGTAAGCCAAGTTTGTTCATGAATTTGAATAATTCAACTTTTGATTGCAAGTATCACTCATATGGTGGCACCTCACTGATTCCCAGGTAACTGGGATAGCAGTCTAGGATGAAAAGGCTGAAAAAATTTAATAAAGTCATTCTGCTTGTATAATTTTTAGTTTCATTTTGCTTTTGTGTTTCTTCCACTGGTGAATGTTTATTTTGTAATGCTTGCTAATTTATTGTGTTTTATTATGTTGGAATGATATCTGAATGGCTTATTTTGTGCCAACTTTTTTCTCATGTCTCCTTGGTTTTATTACAAATCCCCTGAGGCTTATTTTGCATGACTTTTGTATCATCTCTGGAGCAAATTCCCAGCACAAGCCCCCCTTTCGAGAGTGGAATCATGAGTGCTGTCAACTCCTGTCAAAAGGTCCCTTCAAGTACACTTCATCCCAGTCAGAACTGTCATTGTAACAGAGCTAGTCATGTGACCATGGCTAGAGACACCACTCAGTTGGTAGTGTCTTCGTTGCAGAGATAGTCATGTGATCATAGTTAGAGACACCACTTAGTGGGCAGTGTGATTGTAACAGAGCTAATCATGTGACCCTGGCTAGTAACACCAATCAGTGGGCAGTGACATCGTAACAGAGCTAGTCATGTGACCATGGCTGGAGACACTATTTAGTAGGCAGTGTCATCGTTACAGAGCTAGTCATGTGACCATGGGTAGTGACACCACTCAGCGCACATGTTATTGTTACAGAGTTAGTTCCAAGAGGGAATCTTGGATGTTCTACCCCTGAGCAAAATACATAATTGCCTCAGCAAATAACTAGCTACATAAATAGATTTTAAAAATATTTTCTTTTTTTTTGCAATCTATTTACAATGAAAATATAATGATTTTACCAAAGTACCTGCAAGTGATTTTGCTGGAGGTCCCGTCACAGGTTTCACTTTAGTAACCTCATCACTTAAATCCCAGATAGAGGATTGTCTTTTTTAATTAATTTACAACAAGGAAATGGTGAACCAGTCATGCATTTCACAGTCCCCCTTAATGCTCACTTCTATTTTTTCCCTTCACGCTTCAACGAAGTTTGCCCCCCCCCCCCAAAGTTTGGTGCCAATCAAGTCTTTAGCTGAAAAGCGTCTGGAAGAGATAACATTATTGTTATGGATCAGATCATGAAAGTCATTCAGAAACCAAGGGACTAAGTTCTCCATTAACAATCACCAGCATGCAAGCTAATCCATTCCAATATAGGAAACAAGAACTGGGGCAAATTAACTAATTATTCTCCCTCCTATAAAACCTTCACACAAATAATGGCTATTTTTGCTTCATAGTTTATATGTCTTATACAGTTTAGCCTAGATCTTCAGCTTATGACTAATACAAATGAAAGTCCTTAGCACTATATTATAATAATCCATTCATTCACCTTCCATGCAGGGCACATATACAACCATGGAAAAAATAAAGAGACCACTCTATATTTTTTTAGGAATCTGCACTGTTAAATCCTGGCTTAATCGTGGTTCTACTGACAAAAGGCTACACTGAGCAGCAGGTTGCTTCCAGGTTCAAAATTTCTAAGGTCATGATACACAAGAATAACGTGAAACAGGAGACGCTGAGAATGAACAGAAACCAGCATAATAGAGGGTGGAAGCAACTTTCTAATGGCAGAGATGACCGTTAACTTATGCGACTGTTTCTCATGAATCATAGGATGACATCAAGTGACCTTCCAAAGGAATGGGAAACATTAAGTGCAGGTGTGAAGTGCACTGTTAGGACAGATCATATCAGGCTCCTAGAAGCAGGACTGAAGTCCCATAAAGCAAGGAAGAAGCCCTTCATTAATGAGAAACAGGGAAGAACCAGGCTACAGTTTGCAAAAAACATTATTCGACCGACACACCCATAAATTGAGAAATGAGTTTGCAGTTAGCCTAACTGCATGATTATGAACTGCAGGAACAGAGCACAGGCGAGTCTCGAACCCACAACCCTGGAGGCATTAGGCAACAGTGCTTACCCAATTCAGTTTATAAATAAGAAAGCATCAGATCCATGGATCATGTAGAATAATTAAGATTGGTGTTTAGTGGAAAAAAAACATCTGTACCTTCCCCAATTTCATTTAATTGGTATGCTTTAACATGAGGTCTTGCTGGCTGAATGGTAACAGAGATGACAGGTTAGCTTTGGAAGTAGAGTCTTCTAGCACTAGTAGGGGTGTGGGGTGAGAGAATATTTAAAAGAGAGATCTAATGGCTATTGGAAGAGGGATTTCTCACTAATGTCGGACGCACACACTTGATGCACGCTCTCTGTGTCATGCCTCGCTGCCTTGCTTCTGCTTACACAGTAAGTATTGTATCTGTATGGGACCTGAGAGCACAAGCCCAGAGCCTGTTATTTAGAATATGCTTGGCATCACAGAGATAGCACAGTTTACCAGACTATACTAGATGTTCACATCACTCTGGTACATCAATTGGTGAATAAATTGAAGCTGACATCAATTTAAATGGGGATCACCTTCAAAGTCCAAAGCTTCAGAAGCTGCAGTCTCACCACATAGTAGCTCATCTTCTTTCTGAAGGCGCAGCAGGCATGAGGGAGGCAGCAGATACACGGAAGCGGGAGAGGTGGTGCTGCAGCCCATCATCTTCTTCTTGACAATATTAAGCCCATCAAAAACATTTTTTCATGAACAAATATGTCCCTTTACAAATTATTCATTGCACTATCCATAAAATAAAGATACACTTTCCTACCTTTTATATTAAAAAAAAAATGTAAGTGGTTTATGTTTTTAAAATAAATTTGTTGGCAATTCACTTGTATTTTCAGAGATTGAAAAACCTCATTCTTAGAACCTTTCTGTTGTCTCCAATAGTGTGCCTCCTTCAACACTCTTATGGAGGACCTGGGAATCTCCTTCAAGTGTCTCAAGACTGCCAAGAAGAACCCAAGGACCAAGGGACGGTCGGGGCTGGTCAACTTTTTGCCATGCCACCCCAAACGCATCCTGAGGAAAGAAACCATGGCGTAGAGCTGTCCTCTTTGATTAGCTGTCTGTGAAATCCCACCCACTACACCTTCACAGAAGTTGCAGATATACCACCATTATGGTGCTATGCGGCAGTTAGTTTGCTGTATGCAAAACAACAACAGCAACAATAATTATTATTGTGATTCAGAACCCCATCTGGAGGCCATATATCCACCTTGTTTCTGGATACACTCAAGAACTGCCGCTAAATTTAATTTCAAGTGAAGTCAAGTGGACTTTTACATTGTTGTTTAGTTTTCTTTTTTAACTGCTATTTTCAATTGCACAGGCACAAAGACATTGCATTTTCAAAGGTTAATTTTATGTGATGCATATTTTCAATGTGATTGACGTTAAAAAAAAGAGATAAAATATTCTTATGCTCCTCAGTTTCTCTGTAAATTCCTTTTCAGTAACCTGTAAACGTGTTTACATCCTGTGTCTTGTAAATTTATATATTTTAAATAGAGAGCCTTACACAGCATCACACATATGCTATGGGAGAAATCAGTAGCTTGTGTAGTACACCAGCAATTGAAACACCCTCCAGTCCCTTTTCCATGACCAATTATCCAGCACACATTCACTATGAACCAGGGGGTGCTGCACAAAGCAGGATTTCTTTCTTAGGCGGATAGCTTGTCAGATTTAAGGTAGCCTGGACTTTGGAGGTCCCTAGGGTTTAAAGTGGGCCAGAAGAAACAGATGTTACACGATATTTTGTGACCGTCGTAATGTGTGACTTCAGGGCCACTGTTTTGCATGTTATTGGGAATGAACGCAACTGAACAACAGTCGCAACATCGGCTACACATTTCACAGCTCAGAATTACCCACTCTTTCAGCCATGTTAATTTTGAAGGAACATGCAGAAGAGTTATTTCCAGTCATAGCTCTGGAGACAACAATAAGAAATACAAATATGAGGACGGGACAGAAAGTGGAAACGCTGCTGCATATTCAATTAATGAATAGATAAATTTGATGGGTAGTTTCATATAAGATGAAGCCATGTCAAGCGAGTTTATTTTTCGTGTACTGCAGCCAGGCTTTCCCCCCAGATGATGCCATCAGTATACTATGTCCACACTGCTACGTGTTAATTTAAAAATGACCGGAGCATTAAAACGAAAATAATATCCATATACACAGGCTTTTCCACGTCGTTTACTAAAGTATTTCCATACACACTCAAACAAGCGAAAACATATGTGACACAGCTGTCAGCCTACGTTACCAGACGTAGTATGCGCACATTGACACAGTGACCGGAAAATTAATTTCATTTTTTGATGCGACTAGATGGTGGTCTTGGGCTTTGAACCCTTTTATGAACAGAGAGGACCATCTGATGGGGTCAGAAGATACAGCAAATGGTTCGCGAAGCTATATTTGCTCGTTACTACAGGTCAGGAAGAAGGAAAGCGCAGTCGAAAGCAGTTCCTCCATATCCGCCATGTTGGAATACCGTTTGTTGCGTGTAGGCCTGTAGGGTGTCCAGGTGACCAATCAAACAATGAGAAGGTGTAACCAGCAATGACGTATGTTTACTAGATTTGCTATCACGCGACAGCAAGTGCAAGGATTTGACCGCCATATTGGAGAAGTCGAAGCAGTCCTTCCCACTATGCTGCATCTGGCTGCAGAAACAGGCGGGGATGCTGCTCCAGTGATATAACCTTCCGCCAGTTAGTGTGTTTTTTCATCATTGTATATTTTTGTATTAGCAGTCGTGTGATATTGCCTTGCCTACATACATTTTGTAGCCTACAGAATAACACTGGGCGGTATACCCATTCATCTGGTATACTGGTTATAATTTCCCGTACGGTATGAATTTTTAAGCTACCGCCATAAAATAGCATAGCTGAAAATATACAACTGCGATTGTGTTGTAATGTAATAATATTGAAACAGTTAAGCAGTTAACCATGACGAGTCAAGTGCTGGGCATGTCACACGCCACATACTATTACTATTCTAAATTGATTGTATTTAGGAAGTTGCAGTGACATGCAGAATTTTATTTTGAAGACACAATAGATTAGCCGCAATATGCCAGCCTATGTTTGGGCTGCTGAACGCTTATATTTTATTACTTACTTATCGGGTACAGCAGTCAAACCTTATTAACTTTTAAACTGTTTCTGTTGGGGAAGTTGCAGTGACATTCAGAATTTTAGTTTGAAGGGATTAAAGATGCCGGCCCGTGTTTAGGTTGTTGTGGAGAATCCTGTCGGCATTTTTATTTTACCAAAAAAGAACTTTTACTTTAAATAAATGCTTATTTTTTAAAACCAGCCTAATTCAGTGTAATGTGTTGCCAGATCATCGTGCTGACACTGAGAAATGCTAGTATTGCGTGTCGGGTTTGCAGGTCTCTAAATCGGATAGAATAATTTGTTCGGGTTGATGGTGGGTGGGTGATATATATACACACACACAGTGGTACCTCAGAACTCGGGTTCGAATCCTAGTTAGTTCGAGTTCTGATTGAATTTTCCTCATAAGAAATATATGGAAAACCAATTAATTGGTTCCCGGCCCAAAAAAATTACACCTAAATATGTCTTTTTTAGCATTTAAACACAAACGAACAGGATAAAACAAGAAGAGCATTTTTCTTAATGGCTTCCAAAACGATAAAGAGTGTACCCCGGCCAACACTACCCCTGTCCTGCCCCGATCGTCCGCTCCTTCCGGGTGCCACGCCCCCTCGTTAACCTCGTGTGGAATCCCCGTGTGATCAGCTGTTTCTGGTTGTTGTCATTAGTCCTCTGTATTTAGTCTGCGTTTCAGTTTGTTTCCCCAGTCCGGTCATTGTAACGTCATCATGTTGTTCTGTATACATGTTCTCAATTAAACCCCGTATTTCCTGATCGCTTGAGTCCTGTACCTGCTTCCCCGGTCCGGCTCGGCCTATCATGACAACCCTAAGCCATGCCCCATCACTGCGCCAACACTAGACTATCCCATGCGGTCCATTGTTTATTTTTATTATTACTCTGTATTCGTAAATTTTTTTGTAAATCGCAAAGTTTTAGGTTATAACATTTGTAGAACTATTGCGTAACTTTTTGGTGAGCAATGGCTATTAAAATTATATAAAGTACAGTTTATTATTATTAATAATATGTAATAATAATTTAATATTAATATTATTAATATTTTCAATGAAAAAAAGCACTATCACTAACAAATAATAATAATAATACATTTTATTTATAACGCACTTTTCATTAACAAAATCTCAAAGTGCCACATTAAAAACAACAAAGTTAAAAATATCCATAAAATCAAAATAATATCATTACTACTAAATATGATATCTTAGCAGTTGTATGCTTTCCTAAATAAAAAAGTCTTCAAATTTGCTTTAAACGAGTCCAGGTTCTGTGTAACTTGCAGCTGGACAGGAAGATGGTTCCATAGCTGTGGGGCAACAGAGCAAAAAGCTCGACCTCCCATAGTACACAGCTTATTTGATGATGCTGTCACAGCGAATGTGAGGCTGAGACTGAAGCGTTACCCTTTGTTTCCGCTGAGACGTGCTGCGTGACTCATTTCCCCGCAAGTACAAGTTATCTTAGGTCAGCGTTCACGGTTCAACTTCTGAGATTTAGATCGAGTTCTAGGTCATTTGTTTTTTTCGAACTGGTTGGTTCGATTTTTAAGAAATTCGAGTTCTAATGAATTCGAGAACTGAGGTGTGTGTGTGTGTATGTATGTATATATATGTATGTACGTATGTATGTATATATATATATATATACATATATATATACACACACACAAGTTCGTAAGCATCTGTGTGTATATATATATGTGTGTGTGTGTGTATGTACATATATATATATAGGCCTATATACACACACACACACGCACAAGTTCGTAAGTAGAGGAGCGTCTGTATAATTATATATATATATATATGTGTGTGTGTGTGTACGCTCCTCTACTTACGAACTTTCACACATATGAACGAAGAGGACTGTAAGTCCAAATTGTGTTCGTTGGGCTCCCGCTTCCTGTCCGCACCAATTCCGCATAATACGTCATCTGGCCGTTACTCCCGCCGCGCGGCAGCGTAGCGTGCGGATTCCCAGCATCCTAGTTCTTCATACTTGCGTAAACCCTTTTTTTTATTATTTTTTTTTATTGAACAATCATTCATGTTCAAACAACTCGGCAATATCAAACATCATTATATTACTACAGAACAGGTGCATACAAATAAAATAAAAAGTGAACGGAGAGAGAAAAGAAAAAAAAAACTCCATGCAAGGGGGGCTAGGGTTTTTCTTGTAAATCATATTCTATAATAATTGAAAACAAATTTACTGCATTTTTACCTTTCATTACCTTTAGGGCTTTTGTATACAGAATAAACTCATTATGAAATGCACAAAAGGTTGGTTTTACTTTCAAGTATTTTGACTTATGTATATAGAATTTGCCCAACATGAGGATGTTATTTGCGTAAACCCTTAAAATGATGTTGAATGTCAAGTTATGAACGGCCGTTCGGAACGTAACTCGTTCGTAAGTAGAGGGGCGTCTGTATATACATCTCAAGTGGTGTCAGTCGATTAAAAAAAAAAAAGCAGTTTATCGCTGTAATTGATAAGTTTAAAATGTCTTTGTTTTTTTTGGAAGGTGAAACAAAAGACAAATACATGGGTGGTTTTGGAAAAAAGACATGACGAGGAATCACATGTTTTTAAACTATAACATCTTGGTTTTGTTAATTAAAACCACTCAATTGCATGGTTCCAACTTCCAAATATGTAAGCACCTGCTTTTGGGAAAACCCTGCCCAGCTTTTGTTTTTAAATTTTGCATAGCAACTTCGCTTCTTCAGTTTTTGACCGAACAGATAATACGGAAGTTGCATTATTTATGTGAAATATACTAGTGTTTTTACTACAAAATGTAATATTTTACATTAAATTTGTTATTTTCAGCAAATACAATCCTACTGTTTTAAGCTATTTTACTACATGTATTTTCTGGTGTATAGTTTTTCTTTATAGTTAGATACAGTACAGTATACAGTAGTGATCAAAATTAGAAAATAAGTGACATTATTGTAATTTACAAAGTTACTGCTTATCTGAATTCGCAGTTATCCATGAATTGAAGAGATGTATCTTTATTGCATTTTCCTCAGTGAAAACTCAGAAACGTTTCACTGGTAGTGTAGGCCTATATGCACAAGTGGCAGTGAAACCCTTAAGTAACAACAAAACTATTGCACAAAAGTGTACTGAACTTCACTGTTTTAGTCCATCTGGTGAAGGTCACTTGGTGGAGGTGCCTTACCGAGTCCCATGCGCCCAAGGTGGAATTACTTGATTGTTCAGCTTTCACTCTCACAAGCCACCATGTCATCCTGGTC